TTTAGATTTCACAATTTTAATTTAAATATTAGTTTTCATTTAATTGTTTATAATTTTCTCTTATATTTTCTATCTTATTTTAAAATAATTTCAGACATACATGTTAAATATTTATATTTATCTAGATAAATACAAATAACTAAAATAGAAGTTTTTGGATCAATCATGAGAGACTGCATTAAATTACCTTTCATAGAACTTGGTGTTTAAACATTTAGAGAAATGATATGAGATGTAAAATTAGGAATGTTATTAATAAAAGCTAACACCCATTTGAAAAATGCTATTCATTCATACCTATTTTCTTATTTTCTTTTATTAGAACAGTCTAATGATAATTTTGTTCCTCCACCCAAATAATTTAACACTAATTTTTAAGGGTATTGAAGATTTTTTACATAGTACATTATTTATTACTAAATTGACTAGTGGCAAATAAGTTTTTTTTTCATTTTAATTGCATAATGAAATAATAAAAAAAAATTTTGAAGGAAAAAAATAAAATTGATGTTAATGAGCATTTTCTTTTTATTTTTACAATATTTTTTCATTATTATAATGTTGAGAGGTAATTCTATATTTAACCAAATTTAAAAAATTTAAAAATAAAACACAAAAATACCCCCCAGAGCTTTAAAATTGGTGTTAAAGAGTTTTTCATATTTTTACAAATAGTTTTTTTATTATTAGAAAGTCATCTTAGAGATAATTTGATATTTAATTAAATATCAAAAACATTTTTAAAATAAAAGCATAAAGATGACACATGTATGTAATATTTCTTGACATCTAAAAATATCCTTTTAGAGCTGTTGCATTTTTAATTGGCGGCAACATGTGTTGACAATGATTGTCTAATTTATTATTAGTGAGTCTTTTTTTTATATCTTTCCTGAAAATTATAACTTGTCTCTCTTTATTGCTAGAGTTTCAATTTCAGTTTTTACTTTTTTAATTTTATATTTTTATTCTTAGATTTTTTATAAAAATTTTATATATTATCAATTATATTCTTCAATTTCAATTTGCTATATACTATGTTTTTCAATTTGTTACTTTATTTTTACTTTTTATTAAATTAATTTTCTTTTTAATTTGACTATTCAATTAAAAATTTACTTTTATTTTTAATTTTAATTTTGATCCTTGTTTTATTTTTTATCTATTTTTTAATTATTTTTATTTTTAATTTTATTATTCATCCAAAAATAAAATTATTTTGTATTTAGAAAAAGCCATGACATGTAGCTTAACAAGTCAAACACATGCTAGACTAACAGTATACCATTACGAAAACTCCACGTCCTAGTAGATGTTTCTAGAACCACGAAAAAACAATAGCCAAACTCTAGAGTCTAGACATCTCTCCACTTCTGTTCAGACGGCCCCATCTCAAGTCCTCGTCCCCACCAATCGAATTATATTATAATTTCTTATTATAAATTTACAATGTATAATAACTTCTAAATACCTTTTTATTTTTATTAATAACTTCAAAAAA